TATTTCATTATGAGATTAGACTTCTATTAAACGCCCGGATCTTGAATAAGCAAACAATTTATTGAAAATCAAATTCTTCACTAAATTGAGGAGATATTGAATCAATATCCCAATTCCTTTATTCTCGCCAATCATCTAAGATGAAAGCTAGGAAGATTAAGTATTCTCCTTCAAATCAAAATTTCATAAATATCAAAATCTTTCATATATCTTAATCGGCTTAATAAGATATATCTATATATTTATTCCCCATATTCATTGCGAGATTCTAATTATTTCGATGGGATATCGCCCGGCATCCGTAGCGTGCTCTTCTATCGCACAAATATTCTGGACCCGCTCATGATGCCTTAAAAATCGCGTTCTCGCTCGAGATATCTTCAAGAAATCGATATTCGTTTATCGGTCATCGATCTAAAGATTATAGAATATCGCCTTTAAAATAGTCTTGCTAGGGGGGGTGGGGCGAACGAGACGACCTCCCTGATTTTCAAAAATCGCGTTTTCGTTCGAGACGTCCTCAATATTTTACATTTTCGGACTTTAAGAATTATCAAAAATTGCGCTCCCGCGGGAGAGAATTCGATTTTTTTGAGCCTCTGAATATCTTCGATTCTTCTAAAATCGCGTTCTCCCTCGAGATATCCTGAAAAAATGAATCTTTTTATATCAATGATAGATCCAACAGAGAGGTCAGATCGCCTATAAAATAATCTTGCCAGGAGGGAGGGATCGATCGCGAATTGCTCGCGCTCCGATTTTCAAGAATCGCGTTCCCACGCGAGACATCTTCAAAATTCCGGATTATGCGTTTTCAGAAATTGCGCTCCCACGCGAGACAATTCGAGATTTTTGATATTTTGATCATTTTCGTATCTTCAAAAATCGCGCTCTCATTCGAGACATCCTCGAACTTTCGTCGATTTATCTTCATCTAAATCGGTCAGAATTTCGCTCCCGTGCGGAGCATTCGCAAAATTTGGATCATTTGGGAATGATTTTATGGGCGTTTCTATCCCAATTCTATACCAATGAACGTCATTTGAAGTAGCTTTCCGGGCTCACGAGAGAGATTCTTGGAGATGCGTTTTGATATAGGATTAATATAGGATTCGTCGGATTCATCATTCAAAATTTGATCGTTTAAGGAACCATTTCTATCCCAATTCTTTCCCAAATTGCTTCGCTCAAGGTCATCATCTTTTGATGAAAATCGCGCTGTCGTGCGGAGCAGAGCATCCTCGCAATTTTAATCAAAATCGCGTTCATGTGCGGAGCATCCTCAAAATTTTAAGAAAATTGCGCTCCCGTGCGGAGCATCCCCAAAATTCTGATCAAAATCGCGCCCCCGTGCGGAGCATCCTTAAAATTTTGAAGAAAATCTCTCTCTCTCGTGCGGAATATCTTTAAAATATTGAAGCAAATCGCGCCCCCCGTGCGGAGCATCTTGAAAATTTTGAAGAGAATCATGCTCCCGTTCGGAGCATCCTCGAGATTCTTTCATATATACATATATGCGTATATTCATATATACACATATACATGCATGCATGCATGCTCATGCATGCATGCATAGATACATAAATATTTGCATGCATATATGCATACATGCATATATGCATACATGCATATATGCATATATGCATATATGCATTCATACATTCATGCATACATGCATACATGCATGGATGCATACATACATGCATACATATACACGCACAAATACAGACATACACATACACACATACACACACATACACACACATACACACAGACAGACAGACAGACAGACAGACAGACAGACAGACAGACAGACAGACACACACACACACACCACACACACACACGCGCATACACACAGACACACACACACACACACGCACACACACACACAGAGACACACACACACACTTGCAAGCATCCCGAAGGATGTAGTAGGAGGTTTGCTTGTTTGTTCTTGTTTCCGCACTGTAACATGCCAGCTGCACTGCACATGTTTGCAACATGCAACTGCGCAAGCTGCATCTCAGTCACTGCACTGCACATATTCGCTGACATATTGAACTGCACATGTCTGTTGCGCTCATCACTGCCTGCCTGGAAACCCTGTTTCAGAAAAGAGAAAAGGGCCCGACTTTCATCATGGTCACAAGCTGCACTTCAAAGTGCGCATGTCGACCACGTGCAGGTACAGAAGTGTACGTCTTTACTTCCATCCACCAATGCTCTATAGCTTCGTTGGCATGGCTAAGAGCAAAGGCTCCATGCCCCCTGCATTTCCTGAAAAGAAACTGAAAACAAAAAGAAAAGGTTTCCCTTAGAACACAGGGTGTTATACCCACACATGCTCCCTCTTTGGGAGTAGTACGTGACTTGTAAAAAGAGCACATTCAGCGCAAGCAATGTTGTTGCTTTAACTGAGCCATAGGTTGCATGTTTTGGCAAGGCTGCAGTGAGAAAAATTGATTTTACAGGCATCCTCAGCTTTGCTGGTTGATGAAGAAAATCAAAGTCATCATGAGAAGATACTGAAGTTTCAGTCATTCTCAGCTTGGGATCCGTTGTGGAGAAAAGAGGCGATGCTGCGAAGCGAGCATGCCAAAACATAAACGTATATCATCATTTATGGGCTTCGATCTGCGATTCCCTGACCGATACGCTCATGCGCTCTTGCTTTTGCAGGAGGTCCTTTTCTGGATTGTCACTATCTGGGATGAGTGATCAAAAAGGTGCATGAAACGTATTGACAAACGATTCAAGCGCTATGTCCTTGGTATCTTCATCATTCCCGAAATTGGCAATTTCGTCATATATTTTTATCCATAGGTCTCTCTTGGAGAGGCCGGTAAGCTTCATTTGCAATTTATTGGTTTTGTCAATGACAAACGGACCAGGATAGCCGAAGCCAGTGAGGGTCTCAAACAGCAAATTGGTGGCCCATGCTCTTAATTCACAGTCAAAGACGTGAAGAGATGGGCGCAGCACATGGCTTGACGTAGGATCTATCATATAATGCATCTTGTCCTGTTGGTCCTAACTGCAAGAGACGAATGGTAGTCAAATAGAGATTGCACTGCAACAGCGCAAGAACTGTATGAGCATTGACCTGAATACAAGGGATGCAAGGCTGAAGCATGTCAATCACACCCATCCAGCAAAAGTAGTGGCATGAACAAATTTTCCTGCCATGCGCGCAATGGATAAAAGACTTCATCCAAAATTGGTGTCATTGTGACAACGAACGTCGTTATCAACACTTTGATTTGACATGACGGCACTCAAGAGTGCATGAAATTTCGGAGTCGGTTTGGGAATGAAATTCTCTTTCCGAGTCATGCCAAACAATGGAATCTACCAGCTCGTACGCTCTTGGCAACCCCCGAGGTGCCTGTAAATTGATATGCGGAAATTATTTCGCTCTGTGCAGGATCGTGCGCATCTATAGGCGATTGACTGATCCATATCGGTCAGTGGTGGAAATAAAGGGTGACAAAAAGGCAAGCGGACCTTGAATCGGGCTACCATTTTGCCGCACACTGGCACTGGCCATTGGCCCTGGAAGATATTCAAATAGTCCATCACAAGGGATGTTTGGGGATGCGGAGAGGTAGTGGATGCCGTCGGCGGTTTGCCTCCATATGGAGGAAGAACAATGTCCAAGGTGACGTGTTGGCCAAGGAGAAAGGTCATGATCAAAGTCATGAACTGGCGTCAACACACAATGGCTGAAGAGCTGGCAACGCTTCCATAACTTAGTACGGATCGGTTGTTTTCAGCTGAAACTTGCAACTGCTGCGACAAGCAAACTTACGTCACATGTGCTGCTAAACAGGTGCACTGAATGTGTTATGTGTACGCAGCAACCGAAAGTGAAAACAGAACATTTGTGCAGCGGCAAAACGGAAAGAATCTCAGCAAAAGATGTTGCCTCAGGCATCATCGTGGGTTGCAGGCCTACTTGGAGCACTCGGCTCGCTGGGCTGAGAAGTTTGGTGTAAAGACTCCAGTTCTTGGTCGGCTAGGCCGATACTCTTCCAAGGTCCCCAGCTATCATCAGCTAAAGCCAATGGCTTTTTGTGGCCTTTGATGCGAGCTGCAGATGATGATTCACCTGGTGGAAAATCAGTCTGAGACAGCTCAGAAATAACCCACAGCCTGTCTAGTCTGGCGGCTACGGCTCTCGCAGCCCAGCGTTTATCGCTGCTAGCACTATGGACTAGTGGATAAGACTTTGCCATGAGGCCTTCGTGACTCGTGGAGGCGGTGGGGCTCTTTACATGGCCTGAGGCCAAGAGTCTCCCACGAGGACGCCACAGTTGTTCTTGATGTTGTGGTGGAAGCCTGCCACCCATTCGGATAGTCCCTCCAACCAAATAGGTTTATCAAAGGCCCTACCGTAAAAGGAAAAGGTACCTTCAGATGACCCCGCAACTTCTGCGTCGGTCGGTAACACCCTTCCTATGCTAAGGATTCCGTTCAATCCTTGGGTGTCTGTGCCATGGCTCCAGACGAACCAGTTCTGTGGTTGCAACGGAGGAACCGGCATATCTACCAACGGAAATTGCAGAACCGCAGCGTTTCTCTAGCGGCTCTGGAAGAACATTGCATCCTCAGCAAAGTGGTCTTCATAGGGCAGTTTGGACTGCAACAAAGCATGGACCAGGGTGAAAAATTCTTTCCTGCCAATGCTGCAGGGAGGAAGTGCTGCTAGGTTGGAAAACCTAGATAGCAGAAATCTTGCCCACCTGTCAATTTCAGGTTCTTTTAAAGAACTGAAATTTCGAATCCACTTGCGGGTGAAACTGCGGCGCGCTTGAATACTCTGCAGACACTCATGGTGGGCAATTGGCCACCGATGAGGGTATTTATTATACCAATACTGCAGTCGAAAATTAATATACCGTGTAAACAATGTCATGCCATCTTTGACATATTCATCAGGGTCGGACCCTGGGAGGAGAGCCTCAATTTGGGACTCCAGGTCCTGCTGATTAGCTACCATGACATCTCTGAACATGGCTTCAACTGGTTGCTGGCCTTTGGCCACAAGCTTGCTGGCCTGCCCTGGCGGTGAGGGTTCCGGCTCAGGTGGAGATGAAGCCTTGGGCCAGGAGGCCTGGGCGGTCATGAAGGTCCGCCCTTTCAAGAGGTCCTGGCATCGCTGGATAAAAATTGGCTGGTCTTGCTTGCCCATACGGGAGGTGATGCGCAGCCGGAGGACGAGGTTGAAAAAAAACCGGAGGAGCATGAATTGCGCCGGGAGGAATATAATGCTGCTGAGGATAATGTACATGTGCAGGTTGCTGTACAGGGGGACGTGCTCGTGGTGGCGGTTGTGGCATCCATTGTCCAGGAGGCCGTTCTCCTGGAGGAGACGCTGTTGGCCTCTTGCAGCTGGTTGAGGTGGTGTTCGGCTGCGGTGCCTGCGTCTATGAACTGAAGTAGACCTCCTTCTAGGAGTTCTTGCTCGCCGTGGATGTCCGCGCCGATCTCTGCCACGTCTTTGACGCGATAAGCTTCTTGGTCTATCGCGCCCATATTCCGCATCGCGGGGGCGATTTGGGCGGTATTCAGACTGTGGTGGCTCTTCCGACAAGGGAGGGGCCCCGTATTCGAATTCAACTCTTGCACGTGGTGGTGGAGCTGCGAGGGCTGCGCGAGCTCGTGTCCCACCAGGGTTGGCTAGTGCCAGGCCTTCCGGCCCACAAAAGAACTGGAAAACGTAAGACGACAACATGGCAGTTCAATCACTACAAATGGTGGCTTGAAATTGAAGCGCAAAATTATGCAAGGGATTACGACATTCAGAAGTCAGCAGATGCAAAACTAAGAGCTGGTGGTCTTTCTGCACTTTGTTGCACCAGACCTCAGTGCTGATTGTGAAGAAAACGTCTTGCCTGACGGGAAAGCTCTTCGGAATCGTACCCATACTTCGTGTAGGTGCGAATCAAGGTCTGTACATCTTCTTCAGCTTGGCTGGGCGGAAAACAATTTCTGCTGGCAAGACAAATCCGGGCCAATGCTGCAGACATCTTGTGGGGTATCGTGCCTGCAGAATTGATGGGCCGGAATTGGAAAGGTTCTGTCGGCTGCCGAAAAATGAGTATGCGTCTTGTTGCACACAAGGTAGTTCCAAGAAAGTCCCCATCCGTCACATCTTCCAGCTCCACTGGGTGACGATAAAAGAATGCTGACAGGAACTCCTGAAAGTGTGGTGTTGATGCAATACTCTCACAACAAAGGACCAATCTGTTATCAACGTAGCGAGTGATGAAGACATCCTTTGCTAATTTGGCCAGCTGGTGGCTGTGCTTTTCATACCATGCTTGTTCGAGGTATGAAACTGCCACGTTTGCCAGTGAAGGAGAAATCTGGTTCCCAATAGCGGAACCTCGCTGCTGCTTAAGATCCTTTTCATCTGGGAAAACATTGACTCTGACAAGGATAATTTATAAATGTCCGCCAAATCCGAAAGATGAATTACTCCTTTTTTGGCTTTTTGGCGCCTGTAGCTGCCTTGAAACACTGGAAGTCGCGGCTCAGGAGCATGCAGTTGGATTGCGAACTTCACCTCCTCCATGGGCAGGCTTTGTTTTGCCCCATACTTGGAAATCTGACTGGCAGGCTTGTAAAGAAGCCAACCAGATCTCGATTATACTGTTGGAGATCAATGTCCTCACTTGCGTTTCGGAGAAAACTGTGAAGGCTTTGAAAAATGTCTGGTAGTGTTTGGTACCCAAAGCTTTGAGGGTACACCACTGGAAGCATCAGACTAATTACTGTGCTGGCTGCTCGAAGCAAGCGAGCGAATACAAAAGACTGGTATGAAATGATAGGTCTTGCTATCATGAAGTTTTTCTTCTTTTTTAGTAGCACATACGATATCGGAAGCTCAGCGCTTTGATTGATGCCCCACGAGTATTATTTTAGCCAAGGTTTCTTCGCTTGGTGCTGTAAAAACGCACGAGCCTGGGATAACGTCAGGTTGGATGGTGCGTAAACAACCTGGTCCCCGAATGTGCCACGCAATACATACCAATAGAAGCGAGAACAGAAAAGGTGCAAATGGTCCGGGGCATGGTCGCGGCCCTGAATTACGAAGCATTCTTTTGTAATCTCTCGAATGTATTTGATATCGGCCATCGATAATGGCAATTTTGCGCCAGGGATGTGTTGCTGCCACTGTTCCTGTAAAAAACTGGAACATTCAGCCTGATTGATTCCAGAAACCAAATATCTGGATGCCCATTTCTCAAGCTGTGTCCATGATTGATCCAGGTATTGCTGGAATGACGGATAGCCTTGTGTCTTAGCATTGACACCCATCCAAAATTTCAAACGCTTTGAAATGCTGAGCTTGTCTAGCGCAGAAGCAACATGCAGTTGTCCATCATCTGGATGACGAACGGTTTGAAGCTCTGGATGTTACTGAAGAAAAAATTGCAGCTACACGGTGGCTCTACATCCCATTCGAACTCGGCCATCTGCCTGTGGTGGTTGACCAGCAGCTTGCTTAAAGACATGTGGGCAACTGGGACCACGTTGCATGGCGGCAGATGAAAGGGAACTAAAAATCACGAAGATGAAGGATTTTGCTTTCACTGCGCTTCGAAAACTGGAGTGAGACAACATCGGCAATTGCATGGGTCTGGCGCGTGGAGGTTTCACTCCACCTTTAAACAGCAGAATCTTTGTCAGTGTGCTTTGGACACTGCTCCTAGGCGGTTCATCCAGATTGTTGACCAATCGGGACAGAGCATAGACATGTTGAAGAGAAATATGCACTGGACCTCAATTCTCTTTGCATGTTAATAGATGCCAGAGAGCGCTCAGCAAGAATGGTGAGAATCATCCAGGATGATTCAGGTTCTTGCTTTATGGAGCTATAAAGAGATAGTGCTCCAAATGTATAAAGTCGCTTTCGTAGCTTCTTGTGCAGCCTTGTGCCAGGAGCTTGGAAAGATGATGCAATGCGTTTGACCGATTGAGAATAGTCAGGCCCAACTTTTGAAATACGTTTCTTCAAAATAAGATGGTAGTTCAAAGGAGGATTCCACTTCTGAATGAGGGTGAAAGCCAAAGTGCGAATTTGGCGTCTGATGTCCATCTTGGCAATCGGGATCAAGACCATCTTTCCAAAGCTTTGTCTGGAGACTGTCCAATGGAGCATTAATTCTG